TGTTTAGGAATATGGCTGCTCTCTACTTCTGTTTTCTTTTTGTCTCAATATGGTAGTTTCTTCCCATTGGTCCTGATCCTCAGATACCAAATTTATTTCTAGGCTGTACTGAGAATGGGATATTTTTCTTGGTACATTTGCTGATTATAATTAGTAGTCCAGAAGTTACTAACTTTCATATATTATTTACATGACCATTTTCCTGGGCAATTAATTTTTCAGACTATTCTCTTTGATTCTCAAGGTACACAAACGAAAATCAAGAATTTCATTTCTTTTAAAAACTGTTGTAGTTATATCTCTTATTTCAGAGCTCTGTCCATACTAGGTAGTCTTCGCTTATTTCTTTAACTCGACTCTCTACCCTTCTCAATCTACGTTTCAGCCAGGGAAACTTCTGGTAGATTCTGCCAATGGGAGGCACCAGCATGAGATCAGAGGGCAGGAGAGACCGTCAGACAGATATCAGGCTATTCACTTGCTTTCCCACCCCTTCCTGTTCCTGCCAAGATGGGCAGTAGTTGCTGAGATCTTCTAACCTATGTCTAAGGCCACAGTTCTCGTCAGAAGGCTGCTGGTTTGAAAACTGCAGTCCCAGGGTTCCCCCTCAGCTCCCTCCCCTTGCCTCTTTAGGTCTAAAGCTGGACATGCTTCCTGTGGTTGTCAGCTGTAAATATCTTAATTATCTTAAATATTAGTAAACGTGATGGATTGAACCCATGTCTAATTTCATTTCCTAAAGAAATCTTTAAAAACCATCAACCCTTCACGGGGAGAACAAGTGAGATAATGGCAACACCATGTTGGAGGTTGGAAGGATGACGGGCAAGTGGGAACGGACTTGGCAGATCCCAGTGGGGATGCCAAGACCCTGCCTGATCTATGTGGCAGACATCTCAAAGGCTGGGACAGCGGCAGGCACCCTCTCCTACTCCAGGCCATTGGAGGATCTCTAAACTGGACATCAGGTAGAGCTGGCAGGCTGGGTACCAATTTGTAATCAGAGATCAAGGAGACATGCATGTACTGATGGCTGTGTAAAGACAGCCCTCTCCCCCAACATGGCACCCAAAATGTAGGCAGCCAGACATACCTACATGGCAGGAGAAGTTTCTCTGGGGCTCTCACCAGTCCAAGAGCAAAGTCCTAAAATCACTAAGGTTTCCAATAAACAGCTCAGCAAGGATCAAAGTGAACCCCTCACCCCCACCCCTCCACCCCCTTGTTCAGAGTTTCCAATCTGCTTTTCAGTTCGTTTCAGAATAAGCTTATAACCCAGGGTTACTGGACATCTGAGGGACATCTCATATGAACACTAGAGACCAAAAAGAACAGAGAAAACCATGGGAGGAAAGAGTATGTAGGGAGAAAATGAAAAATAAATTTATCCTCAGGGAGATAAGCAGTTACAAAACAAGTAAATAAAACATAAGCTGCTACTACAAAAAAAAGGAACATTAAGAGAAAAGTGAGCTCTTGAAAACTTAAAACATGATGGAAAAATTAAGGAATGAAAAATAAAGTTGAGGAAATCTCCCAGAAAATGGAGTGAAAAGACAAAAGGATGGGAAGTAAGGAAGAAACATACAAAGGCGTTTGAGGAACAATGACAGAACTAGGAGTTCCAGAAAGAGGGATCAGAGAAATGTAGGTGAGAAAAATCCATAGGTGACTAGGTTCAAACCTTGGTTCCACCATTTACTAGCTGGGTGGTCCTGAGCAAAGACTAAACCTTTCTGTGCCCCAGCGTCCTTACCCTGAAAATGTAAATGGTACTTTGCTTATTGGATTATTTTGAGGATTCAAAGTAGTCTGTGCAAAGTTCTAAGAACCAAGTTGGTACACATTACATCCTCAGTAATTGACAGCCATCATTAACTGTTTCACACACATACACTACATACAATCAGTCATCAAATTTTACTGGCCCTCTCTTCATTATTCATAATCAAACCACTTGTTACCATCTCTACTACCACTGCTCATTTACCATTACCTTTCCTGGAATACTGCCAGTTGTAATTCCCTATTTCCTGGCTTTGCCCTCCCTACCACCTTGTCTCAACACCGTAGCAAAGGGGATCCATATCAAGTTGAAGTCCCATTGTGACACTCTGAGTAAAAGCCAAGTCTTTCCCATGAACAAAATGGTTCCACAAAATCTGAAACCCCATTATTTCCTGACCTCAACTCTCACTAGTTCCCTTCCTCCGCTCCAGTTAGGCTGGCCTCTTTATAGGACTGTCTAACAAGCGTCTTCTCCCCCACGGCCTCTGCACTCGCTGTTCCCTCTGCCTGGAAAGATCTTCTCCCAGATATCTGAACGGCATATCACTTGCTCTAATTCTTGATTCAAATATCACCTTCTTCATGAAGCCTACCTAGGCTACTCTAAAATCACACCTCCTCACACTTTCTATCGCCATTCCCTGATTATTTTCTCCTTAGCACTTACCATTCACTGACATCTTTTTCATACTGTTTCACAAGCACAGAATTTTGCCCCGTGTTCACTGATGTATTCCCAGCAAGAGTGCTTAACCTGAGGCAGACACTTATGATTTATTCAATAAATAAAAAAAGAAGGGCCGGCTGAGTGGCTCAGTTGGTTAAGAGCTCGCTCAAGAGTTTGAGCTCTGGGGCTGGCCGAGTGACCCGATGGTTAAGAACTGGCTTGGGATGCCAGAGGGCCCCGGTTCGGATCCCACATTAGAGGGCCAGTGACACTGCCCTCCACAGCTAAGATGCTGAACAACAGCTCAACCTGGAGCTGGGCTGCCATGAGTCGCCAGCGACGGTGTAGGCTGCAGCCCCTGTGACAGTGGGTAGCCATGAGCTACTGTATATAGTCAGCAGTCAGCATGAGCGGCCAGCAACTGCCATGAGCGGCTGTCCAGAAGCCGGCGACTGATCTGTCTCGCCCGGGAAGAGCGCAATGATGGTGCCAACTTGGGCCACTGAAGCAACGTCCTCCACAACTAGACTGAAGAAAAAAAGAGTTTGAGCTCTGAGCAACAGTGGTTCCAGTCCCGGCCCAAGCTGAGCAGCCACTGAGGGGCCAACAGGTGGCAGGATGGCTCAGCTAAAAAAAAAAAGAGGAAAAAAAAGAAACTTTCCTAAGAACTGAAAGACATGAGTTACCACATTGAAAGGGCCTGCCAAGTGACCAGTAAAATCACTGCAAACTTTCGAACATTGAAACAAGAGTGAAGATGCTATAAGCCTGCAGGTAACAAATCAGAATGTCTTCAAACTTGACAGCAACATAGGAGAGAAAGACAAATAATTTCCAACCTAAAATTTATTCCCAAATTATCAGATAAGTCTGAAGATAGAATAAAAGCCTTTGACCCTCAAGGTCTAAAAATATTTTGTCTTCCATGAATCTTTGCTCCATAAAGCTTTTAAAGGATGTGCATCACTTAAACAGAAAGGGATAAGCATGGGATCCTGCAAGGAGAGGTCATACAGGTAGAAAGTGAAAGAAATCACGAGGATAACAACAAAGGGAGATTCTCAGGATGACAACTGTACACTAACTCACAACCAGTCCAGACCGAAGAGGGGAGGTTCACACATCAGGTCTGGCGAGTGCAATGCACTGTCCCTCTAGTCTGATACAACTAGTAGAGGATGTGTTAAACAGAAATGGAATAAACAAAGAAGGCAGGATATACCATGCAGAAAACAGCAATTTGCATTCAGGAGAAATAGAGGATGTCCCAGGATGACATCTGTGTAGCATTCTAGACAGACAGAGTAGTATTACCTAAGAAGGATCATACCAAGGGGTGGGGGAACAGGGGGCACAGAACTGATAGGTTATTGATCCTTGTAAAAATGTGTGCAAAATGGCTGTCGAGTTTGAAGAGAATCAGCAGTAGATACAAAGAAAACTAAGCTCTTTGTGTGTGTGTGTGTGTGTGTGTCAGGAGAGAAAGATTTAACATTAGGAAACATGAAAGTGAAATAGGAATTTATCATTTAGAAACATGTTGCTGCAAGAAGAAACTGGAGGAAGTAGGGAGAAATGGGACAGGAGACTACTGGATTCTTTTAATCCATTTAAAATTAAATGTATTCCAAGCTGGCCGAATGGCTCAGTTGGTTAAGAGTTGGCTTAAGAGCATGAGCTCTGAGCAACAGGACCGCCAGTTCGATTCCCACACGAGCCAGTGATGCTGCGCCTGAGCTGAGCTGTTGCTGAGCTGCCAACAGATGGTAGGATGGCTCAGCTGGTGTAACACGATTGCCTGTTCAATGGTGGGCTATGCCTACCCGCAACTAAGACTGAATCGGCACCTTGAGCTGAGTTGCCGCTCGGATGGCTCAGTGGATAGAGCATGTGCTCTTAACAACAAGGCTGGTGGCTCAACTCCTGCATGGGATGGTGGCTACACCCACCCGCAACTAAGATTGAACACAGCACCTTAAGCTTAGAGGCTACGAGCTGCCGATGGGAAGCCAGATGACAACTGGCACCCTCCACAACTAAGACTGAAGAGCAACAACTTGGTTGGTCCCCCTCCCCAATTCTCCAACACTGTTCCCCTCCCCCAATTCCCTAATAAAAGCTTAAAAAATATAAAAAATAAAAAAATTTGAATTAAATGCATTCCTTTAAAACAATTGAGATTAATTTTCAAAAAGATACACTGACTTCTCACTATGCTTTCCAATTTCATATGATAATATTTCTTTCAATTATTTACCACCAAAATGTGATGGTGACAGATGTTGAAGCCTAGTGACAGATGGGAAAAACATGAGAGAATTGAAGAGTACTTTGAAATAGTTTTATTGGCTCATAAGATCTTTGCATATAAAAAAAATACCCAAAACACTATGCAGTATTAAATCACAATTACATTTTTTTTACCAATTAAAACTACCCAGAATATACATTTTTTAAAGAAAAAAAATCCTACAGAACTGAATTCTGAAGTGACATTATGACTTAAATACTATTTGACAAAATAGGTAACTCCTTATCACATTACTTCATTGCACAAGGCTGCCAGGTACTTTCGTATGCATGACCACTGCAGAGTGCAAATGAGCAGTTTGAACGTTACATGTTCAGCTGAAGTAACTGCCTCCACCTAAGGAACTCTCACATTTCTGGCACAAAAGTTGGTCTGTTTTAACGTCCCCCAGGCAACTAACCAACTTCACAATCCAGTGACTCTCTTTCTGGCCATCCCTTAAGAAAAAAAAAGAAAAGAAAAGAAAAGAAAAAAGTAATATCCTTCTGCTGTCACTGCCTGAGAGTCAGCAGCGCCTTTGCTTAAAGAAATCCACCCCTCTCAGCTCCTCCGGCAGGTACTCCTGGTCCACAGGCTCACTGTACATGGGGTTGTACTTGTAGCCCTTGCCGTAGCCCAGGTCCTTCATCAGCCTGGTGGGCGCGTTCCTCAGGTGCAGAGGCACGGGCGGCAGGGGCCCCTGGTGGTTCCGCAGGCAGGCTTTGACATTGTTGTAGGCGCTGTACACCTCAATAGACTTTGGGGCTCTGGCAAAGTAGACAACACACTGGGCCAGGAGCACCTAGGCGAAAAGGAAACATCTTTGCAGAATACTTTATAATATCCCTAGTTAGTTCAGAAAAGATTCCCACCTACTTCCTGCCTATGGTCTGGATAACCACCTATGACAAAAAGAAGAAATTCCTCCATGAGACCAGGGGTTGAACCAGACGAGTGGTTTTCTTTTTTTAAACTGAAGAACTTTTTATTGAACGAAAATTTTCTTAAAACCCCAACATATAAAACATATAAACATGGGCCAGCCGAGTGGCGTGATGGTTAAGAACTGGCTTGGGACGCCAGAGGGCCCCGGTTCGGATCCCACATATGAGGGCCAGTGACACTGCCCTCTACAGCTAAGATGGTGAACGGCAGTTCCACCTGGGGCTGGGCTGCCGGGAGTCGCTGGCAACGGTGTAGGCTGCAGCCCCTGCTGCAGTGGGTTGCCATGGGCTATCGTGTGCAGCCAGCAGCCAGGGTGAGCGGCCAGCAGCCGCCATGAGTGGCCAGCAGCCGCCGTGAGCGACCGTCCAGAAGCCGGCGACTGATCTGCCTCACCTGGGAAGAGCACAATGATGGTGCCAACTTGGGCCAGTGAAGCAACGTCCTCCACAACTAGACTGAAGAACAAAACGACAGCAACTTGTCTGTTCCCCTTCCCCCAATTCTCCAGCGCTGTTCCCATCCCCCCAATTCTCCAATAAAAATCTTTAAAAAAAACAACCAAAAAAACCCCAGATAAACACGAAGCTGCTGTGTTTGTGTGAGAACCTGCACATACTTTCTTGCTCGGCTCCTTCGACACTTCTGCTACCAGGAAACCCTGAACACTTCCTCTGCAACTAGGACTCCTGCTTAAAGACATTACCTCGTTGATACCTAAGGTCCCCCGTTCTCGAGTCTAAGCTTCTAAAACAGGAGTTAAGAGGCCCAGCAGCTCCTTCAGTGGGCGCGTACATGAACGGTGAAGGTGGAGCATATGTTCAAACCCACGAAGGGACAGGGCACAAGTGAAAGGAACTGATTTGCAAAGAAATAACCTGATTACTTTACCTCACATTCGGGCATGCCTATAAAATGACAGCCTTGGTAAGCAGCAACTGCTTGTGTTAATGCAGACGGATCTGCCAGACCTGTCACACACACAGAAAAAGGAAAGTTTAAGTCACAACGCACACCCCCATCCTGACCTGTCCACGTGCTACCACGTGAGACCAGGGACTATCACTGCCTGTATATTCTGCTGACCAAAAAAACTCCCACTTAGCGAAATGGACTGACTTTTCTCTGATCTTGTTAGCTTTTTCAAGAAATATTTACTGAGTGTTTACTGTGTAGTGTCAAAAATTGTTTCCTCAGGGATAATAAACTATATCTCGTAGGAAAAAAAAACGTAAGGGGTAGAGACCATGAAGACAGTCACAAGGATGGATATGTTAAAAATAAAACATTTCATAACACCAAAGAAAAGTTTTTCTGATCTTTTTATTTAAATAGTGTCCAGAACCTTCCATTTCTATCTCAGGACCTGTCCAATGAAAACCTGAACACCCAACTACAAAGCAAATGAAAGTATTTCCTTTATTTCAATACTCATTTTAGGAAAATCACTACAGAAGAGGAAACAAAATGGTGACTTTAGGAACATAAACACTCAAAAGCTCACACACACAATAAATAAAAAAATAAACTGAGTTCCTACTGACGTCTTATTTTCTCCTTGCCTGTCCCAAATGGTACCAAGAAACTCTTAGGTCAAAATGCAGCATTACCCCCGCCCTATGTGCACTCCAGGTCCTGGGCCCTTCCCACCACACTCACCTATGTCCTCACTGGCAAACCTCACCAGCCTCCTCGCAACGTACAGTGGGTCCTCTCCTCCTTCAAGCATGCGTGCCAGCCAGTAGAGGGAGGCGCTCTGGTCCGAACCCCGCATGGATTTATGAAGTGCAGAGATGCAGTTGTAATGCTCTTCTCCTGGACACCATAAAAAAAGCACCCACTCAATTACAGGCAGGAGGACAGGGTCCACAGCGCTCTAAGAGGCTCATCCAAGCCTCTTATTTCCCTTAGCTGGTTTTAAGGAAGCCGGAACTAGTAAGGGACCTAGGAAAGCCTGAGAGGTCAGCTCAAGCTGTTCAGTGGGAGGGCACAGAGCCACTGGTGTGGGATGCTGGGGCAGACCCACGCAGTTCCCTGTGGGGCCTGGGCCTGTCTGGTAACCAGGTCCCATTAAGAGTAGAAAGCCGCAGGGAAACGGTGGTTACCTACACTGGATGTGAGCACAGACTAAGCAAAGGGAGGGGACACTCACTTTGAAAGGTGGTCTTCCTAGACCTCGGTGGATTTGCCAGAGCCAAGAGTGGAGGGAGAGTGGTTCTAATGTTCTGGCTCCGCTGTGCGCCCCTGCTGTCGATTGGAGGAAAACTGACTCTGGGCCTGGGGGAGCCATTAGGATGAAGAGTCCAGCGGCAAGAAGAGCTGTTCCAGCCTATTGGCTCCTCGGGATCACTTCCAGCTGCCTTTCTGGTGTCTGAAGCCTGCGGTCATTTAAACCCAGTGTGCGGGCACCTGTGTGGCAGGACCCCAGAAGCCTGACACATGCACTATAGGCCCTGTCCTTCACCGCTTGATCATGCCCCGCTTTTTGACCCGTGTAACAAATCAGTGAAGCGTGCTTTAGAGAAGATATTGAAGGGGAGAAACTTATAGCTCCCCACCTGCATTGACACACATCTCCCTATTTTCTGACCACCATCTCCTCTGTAAGTCTGAGGAGAAGAGACCCCCCCCCACTCCTGAGAAAGCAGGGGTCTTATTCTTAGTATTAGTCCTTTCAGAGAAGCACCTGATCTGTGCTCCTCATTAAGCCGATGCCAACGAGGCTATGATCTGCTCTGCACAGCATCTGGGCCCCACGAACATTCCCGGCAGCTGACAATGCTGGTAAATGACACTTGACCTTCAGATGAAGAGAGCATGGGATAAGATGCTGGCCTGCCAAAGGAGAAAGACCCGAGAGGCTTTCTGTGGAGCCTGAGCCCCTCCCGTTTCAGAGGAACGCCAGTGCAGACGGATGCTTTCTGTCAAGCTGCCGGGTTTCTGTGGACAAACTGAGTTTCCCATCCTAGGGCTTCCTCAACCAACTCACAATGCCATGGAGGCTGGCTGGGAAAGTGTCCTGCGTGAAAGCCACATGGTTCTGGCCCACCTGCCTCATAGGCCTGGACACTGGCCCTGTGCTCTGACCCTCCAGAGCTGAGCCTGGACCTAGGCAGAAGGACCAGTGCAGGCCCGGCCAACTCATGGACATACATGGAGGAGACGGAAGCAGCCAGCTCTGCTTCACTTTCTGCCCAATGCAAACAAGGAGATGGCAATGACTTTCCCCTACCAGAAAGATTACTCAGCTTCTTATACCTTTACTGGAAGTCAGCGACAAAAAGCATATGGTTAAGACCACAGGCTCTGGAGCCAGGCAGCCTGGGTTTGAATGCCAAGTGTACAGCCATGTGACCACGAGCCAAGTGGCTGATCCTCTCTATGCCTCCTCAGGCTTCTCACCTGGGAAGTGGGTATTAAACCATGTTTGATAGCTAGCTCACAGGGTGGTGTGTATTAAACCATGTTTGCCTGGTATGGAATAAGCACTATAGAAACATGTAAGTATTAGGTATTATTCTATGTTAGCTTGTAGTTTTGCTTTTATTATACTATACCGTTTACAACTTAAAACTTCTCATTCGTGTAGAACCCCAACATCAATGCATGGCAGAGGACTTGTTCTCATTTGGAAATTTCTTCACTCTGATACAGAATTATCTGAGCTAGTTCCTAGGTCCCTCACTGATGGAACAAAATCTGTGAGAGAACCATCTCTAGGATCTGAATTGTGGAGCAGGTATGCCACAGGGCAGCAGGGTACGGTGTAAGACTTGTGGGTTGCATGGGTCCTCAAGGCTGGGCTCCAGGCAGTTTCCACTGACCCCAGCTCTTCCTAGGGCAGCAAAGAGCTACAGAGAAGGTGACCCCTTCGTGCACAGCTCCCCCTGATGGAATGTGAACCCCAAGAAGTAGGCACCTTAGGGCTGGACATGTCTGACACCCACAGTGTGTATGTGAGCAGGCACGAGTGTTCACACGGGTTGTGAGAGAGGTGAGTGTGTGAGTGCATGTGAGTGGGTGTAAATATAAGTAGCCATGTGTCAGCGGGGAGGGGCTGGCACGGCGGCAGCACCGACAGGGAGGGAGGACGCAGTCCTGGGAACCAATCAGACCCGGAGCTGAGGATGAATTTAACCATGTGCTTTGTGAATTTAGGCAAGTTTTGTCATACTGTAAAACGAGGATAACATTAAGTTACCTCCCAAAGTTATTTTGAGAATTTAAAAAAAGACAGTGTATATAAACTACTCAGAGTCAATGAGATCTAGTGTTATATTAAATGGTAGCTTTGTTTTTTAACTGACAGTCTGATGAAATGTGGAAGAACAATTTCAGCTAGTCCAGTCAAAATGAAGAGTCTCCTTTAGGACACCTACAACAAGGGAGAAAGCCCACTGTTGCTGGAACTCCCAGAGACAATGGAAGAGTCCAGCATGTGGGAATATTTTTTCTCTTAAAATTTTTAATTTTGTTCTTATCTCCAGTTCTTGTATTTGGCCAAAAGGAAAGTAAAACTCTGTATCCACAATGTTTTACAATTCAGGTTTTCCAAGCACTCCTTTGACATTCAGGAGCACAGAATTGGCCATCTGAGCTCCTGGGTCATGTGAGGAGAGGTGCTGACTGGGGAGAGGACTGTTTGTTAACTGCCTCTAATGCGTCCTTAGTGCTCATTAGCACCCCCACCCCCATCAGCTGAGGGGCACTAAAGCCAGAGCTTCAGACACTTCCCCAAGGTCACACAGCATGTTCTGTTCACTCAACAGAAGGCAATGCCTAGAACCAAAGAAATTCTTAAGCTCCCCCACCCCTTCTCTAACTAGTAAGAAGTACTCTCCACCATCAAAAGGAATTTGGAAATACTGTTAAAGACATGGGACAGCCTATGTGACACCTGGAATGTTTAATTCTCAGCTTCCTTTTCTGGCATAGCTTTGAAAGGTGTGGAAATTCTATTCGTTACTGCAACATGACTCTATCTAGAATCACACAAATACTAAGCCCCGGAAATCCAGGTGAATCCACAGTACGCTATCTTCATCACCCACATCTCTTATAAAAAGATACGAATGTGCTGCGCTTATGACATTTAATATTGCCAGGTCATGGACTTAATAATAGCTGGTATCAAAACTGTTATCTGTAAATGTGCTTCAATGCAAACAGGTAAGTGTACACAGCAAAATTAAATTTTTAAAAAAGATATTACAAAATAAAAATATGAAGATCCAAGTAAACTTAATTTTTAGTTGAGACTCTTGAAATTAAGGATTTTAATTCTCATTAAGCTAAAAAAATAAGTCACTTATTGCAAGAATCCTCTTATTTACTGTCATTAAAAATGATCACAAGAATTACTGTCAATTGAATGTACGGGCTTCTAAAAATGCTTGTGTTCTAAAAGGTGCCATCAGAGAGTAATGGAAAAATACATAACTACCTTATAAGATTAAGTTCGAAGACTGCAATTTCAAACCCGAAAACTCCTCAGTTCTTATCAGGACAGCTTCTACTCTGTGCCTCTCTAAGAAGAAAGCTCAGGGAGCTAGAACTCTGAAATCAGACTGTGAGGTTTAATTCTATTACAAATATGGAGATCCAACTGAGAATCACGTTCATGCTTTGGACCCAGATGAAGGTCAGAGGCCTGGAAGTGAGAGTGTGTGTACATAACTTATTTCATTCAAGTTTCACTCTTTTTACAGTTAAGAGTTATTTACCTGCTCGGTCATATAAAATGTGAGATTTCTGGAGGCCTTCCTTCACATCATTTTCAGTGATCAGAACTCTACTGGGAGAATAGGTTTGCCCACTCTTCTTACAAAACATCTTCCTAGAGCTTAACCTGGCCAGCACCGCCAGCTGCAGTCCGTTCAATCCAGCTCGGGCATCCCCATCGCTGAGATAAGCCAGAGTGTCTACTGCTTTATCCTCTATGAACACGGAGGGCCTGCAACACAACTAGTGTTAGTTACTGTCACACTTTATTACACACTTTTCATTCTGTAGCATTTCTTAGTGAACTCATACGTATGTCAAAAAACTCCTTTAGTTCAAGGCGCTGCCCTTTATTCTTAGCTCATGTTAACAGAGTGCAGCACTACCAAGACTGAAACCTGACCTGCCTTCCAGTCATGAGGGTAGCTCACTGTATAAGCACACATGCATAAGCATGTACGAAGGAGACATGGGGTCTTAGAAAGTCACATGGACATGCAACCTCTCTGGTTCCCAGAACAGTGAAACCACAGAAGCACCAGGGCCTCACAATAACATACAGAAAACATGCTTCGAATGCAGTCCACATCCTGATGAGACAGGTATGCTCAGACCACTACCCCACAGGAAAGGGGCAGCATCATATCAGAAAGCTAGCTCCGAAAGGGTCCAGATCACACAGTTCAATTCCCTCATTTTACAAATGACAAACCAGGTACCCAGACACTCTGGGCACAGCGGGACCTAGGAGCAGGTCTGTGGGATTTAGGCCTGGGGTGTGCTTCCGAGTGAGTATTAATCACATGAAGTCTGCACAGAGTAGCAGAGATCACTAGCCTGCACATCTATCACAAGATTCTCCCAGAACTCAGCTGTGAGACTTTGGGTTAAGTCACCTAACTTGTTTCTTAACGTCAGGACTAAAACTTACCATCCCATTTCTAAATGTGGACCACCTTCATAGAAAATGTCTAACAATGATTTATTTTCAAGTCTAACTGAGCAAAATTTTCTATTCCTAGTCTAGTTGGACAAGCCATCTAACACATTTAGTTACTTAGAGGGGTCTTATTAATTCCTAGCTAGCTGCTGGCAGCACATTTGAAAAGCAAACAATTTTTCAGTTATAGCTCACCCTTATCATGGCCAAACTTCAGCTGAAAATGTCAATTAGGACCATCTAAATCAGCTCCTTGGAAAACAATGCACAGGGACCAACTGGGTTGGGTCAAGGCATGGGGATGGGGGTTGGTGGGGGTGGGGTGGTCATGAAGGGGGGCTCAGCTTGTCTGTGTAGGTCAATGTAGAGTTCCTTATCATACATCCACACACACTACACTGCTTGGTGAATAGCTTGAGTAACACCAATTTGTATTTCATTTACTAAAAGATTTGTTTCTAACATCTTAAAGACTGCCTCAGGTCATTCTCTAATTTAGCAAAGCCAAGACTTGCAATTATCAATTGTGGATCTTGTACCACACATGAAGCACGTGTTTTGTCGTATAGCTTGATAATGAACGACTCTGTCATCAGACTCCTGCCCGGACCCAGAGCCATAGTTACAGTCTGGAAGCCCATCCTTCTCCATTCCTGACAAGATACTCAAAACACACACCAAGGCCACAGCACTGACACTTTGTAAAGTTGACGGACTATGTCTCAAGCAGATATTGTTTAGCAGATTTTTGATGTTTTGGAAGAAAATGACAGACAACACATATTAGAAGAAAATGTCTTAGGAGGGACCAATATTAGCGGGGGTGTGGTAGCACCCGATGTGACCAACAGGGAAGTGTACACCTGGCTTGATTATTACACATAATGTGTGTGGGGGTAAGGGGTGGGGTGGCAGGAAAAACCATAGTTGCCTGAACATCTCATTTTGGCTTCAGAACTAATAAACGCAATCCCTTCCATCTCCTTGGAAAGCTTCCTAGCAACAAAGAACCTGCAGAATCATTTGCAGGGAGAAAAAGGAGTAAAGCAGAAGACCTAATCAATCCTCACTGACTAAGCCATCACCATGAGTCAAGCTGTTTGTTGATCACATTTGTCATCTCTCCATTCCTACTACATGTTGAGGCCTCAGGATAGAAATTATGTTTTACTTTTTCTTTATACCCCCAGTGCCTGGTAGAGAACAGGCATTTGATATCTGCACAATACTGAATGCAATAACTTCTATTTCCCCACAATTTCAGAGTGAAACATTTATTTTCTTTTAAACTGCAATATATAGAAAGTATACCTCCCCCACAAAAATCTATTATCTTCACCACCTAGAGCTACTATGGCCTCTGTTGAATTTCCTTTATGACTCATCCACCTGTTCAACCATCAACCTACATTGAATTTTTAAAACAAAATTGGGATTGTACTATGTATAGTTTGCGTCCTTAACAATTAAATAATTTGTTGAAAAACAAGTAAGTTATTGAACTCTAGATATTACTTTATTACAACATGTGGATTATATTAAATTAAAAAACTAGAGACAAAGGGGTAAAAGTCACTTATTGCTATATTACCTTAACATTAGTGTTTTGGCATACACATACCGTATTTGCCGGCGTATAAGACGACTCGGCGTATAAGACGACCCCCTAACATTTCCACTCAAAATACAGAGTTTGTTATATGGTCGGCTGTGTGCGATTTTGCGAGTGTGGTAAAATCGCATAACAGCAAAATCGCATAACAGCCGAGCATACACCCAGCAGCGCTGCTGATGCCTGAACGGTATGTGGAATGAAGTGGGCGGGCATCGGGAGGCCACTATGGCACGGGGCAAGCACTATGGGCAGTCTATCTGAAGTGTACCTGGCGTATAAGACGACCCCCCACTTGGAGGCATATTTTTCAGGGCCAAAAAATCATCTTATACGCCGGCAAATACGGTATATCCCTTTTCTATTAATCTGTCCATATACACAGACATGAGTGCTTTTGAGACAGAGAAGATGGATGGCCTTCCACGCTCTCATGCTTACTATACTGCCCCATTTCCGTAAGTCCTCATATAAAGTTAGCAAGGAGACCCTTTTCATTATGAGAAGCCAACTATTAATAGCAAACTATTTCACAGATTTATAAACAGCACACCGTGAATACGTCTTTTTAAATGGGCAGGCATGGGCCGGCCGAGTGGCTCAGTTGGTTAAGAGTTGGCTTAAGAGCGCGATTTCTGAGCAACAGGGCTGCCAGTTCGATTCCCACATGGGCCAGTGACGCTGCACCCAAGCTGAGCTGCCAACAGGTGGCAGGCTGGTGGCAGGATGGCTCAGCTGGTGTAACAAAAGATTGCCTGTTTGATGGTGGGCTATGCCTACCCGCAACTAAAATTGAACTCGGCACCTTGAGCTGAACTGCTGCCCGGATGGCTCAGTGGATAGGGCATGATCTCTTAACAACAAGGCTGCTGGTTCGACTCCCGCATGGGATGGTGGCTATGCCCACCCGCAACTAATTGAACGCAGCACTTTGAGCTAAGCGGTGCAGCTGGACTTGGAGCTGAGCTTGCTGCGCCCTCCACAACTAAGATTGAAGGACAACAACTTGGCTGTTCCCCTTCCCCAATTCCCCAACGCTGTTCCCCTCCCCCAATTCCCCCCAAAAATCTTAAAAAACAAAACAAAACAAAAAACACGGTATAGGTTGCTCAAAAGGTTCTACCCATCACTTAGTACTTCCTGTAGCCCAGATTACTCTACCTAGGTTCTGAGGAGTGATAAAATGTGTCAAAATACCTTGAGATCTTAGGAGAGGGAGCAGATGAGAGTGCTCATGCCAAGAATGATAAAATAGGGAAAATCTGTATTGATATTTGCAGAACTTCTCAGCAAACAGTAACTAATGCAACAAAGGGTCTTGACGGAGTGCTTCTAGTCCAGAGAATTTAACATTACTTTTAAATCTAAGCATAAATTGATAAAATGTTTTCAATTTGGAAGTAACCTTCCAAAATCAGAATAGGATTAAATGTGGCACAATTTACTTTGGGGATATATTATTATAGAACACCTGAAATTTCATAGCATTCTATAGAGAAATAAGCAATCAATGGTAAATTATATTGTTATTATGTGATTAAAAAAAAATCCAACTGTTCCATAATAGCAAAAGTGGTTGAAATAAATGTGTTGGAAAAGATCATATTCCCAGTTAATAAGACCTAGAGATAAAAGACATGGCCTAGTTTCTCCAACTGAAGTAAAATGCTTTGGTCTTAAAAGGAATGTGGGAAACATGCTGTAAAGACAGCTCCCTTCTTTCTTTTTTTCTTCCAAGGGTGTGAATTTTTCTGCACATTTGTTTTTCTGGGGGATGACATCAGGATTTGGAGGATTCTATTGGGATAGCTGGATGTTTAAGTAGGAGGAGTGAGGCAAGTGAAAATGTACCTGTTATTTTATGGCAGGACAGAAGAATGTACATGGCTCTCCCTAAATTACAAAACTCTGTGAATCTCTTTCGCTTAAGGAAAAAGGAACATTCATGATTAGGGTAACGACTGCTATCCAGTTGGTCCTCAACCAGGAATGTGCAACAGATTACAGAAAACTTTCCGAAAGTACAGTTATGTGTATCTTAACATAGATTTACCGATTACGAAATCTCCACGGACAGACCCTGGGCACATGTATTGTCAAAATGCATCCTTGGTAAGCGCTGATGTGCAGAGCTGCTGAAAAGGCACTACTGCTGAATTATAGCTAGGAATCTTCTGTCTCTAATACTTTACAGATTACAACAGTGCTGCCCTTACACAAAGAAACAGAGAAAGGTTAGAATGCTAATACTCACCAGTAGCATTTCAACTTGATATTAAGTATAAGTAAAGTAATTCTTAATTTTGCACCTAGACTCCTAACAACAGGTAGCTTAATAGTTAAAGACATGCCTTCAAAAACTGGTTCTATTCTGTTCAAGCTGGGTGATCCTGGCACGTTACTTCACCTTTTTGTGCCTCAGTTTCCTCATCTAAAATGGGGACAATATCTATTTCTCAGAGGATTAAATGAGACATGTAAAAAGCTTAGAGCAGTGCCTGGACATCATGAGCACTCAATTTTATCATTAGTAATGAAAATGATTTTAATTAGACTGTTCAGTAGTATACTCTCTAGAATTGCAAATCTTCAAGGCAGAGCCCTAAGTTCAGCTACTTCCATGATAACCAGAGTGAAAATAATACAAGACTTATCTCCAAAGAGAGATTATGAACTTCCC